TTTAATACTTTTTCATTAACAATGAGCAGTTATCGATATAAAGTTTGTCATTCAACATCATTTCATAAATAAATATATTTCAACTCTGATTTTCATGTTATTAAAAATGAATTTTAAACCCCCAATTTAGATTCTTAATCTAACAAAAAATGGGGCCAAATTGAACTTCAATAAGGCCTATGCCCCGAAAACCGAAATCCGCCCTGGACCAGCCTCAAAGAATTCCTGGAGTTTTTCGATTCGCCCGGATTTGATCCTGGATATACAGAACGGTAAGTCTGCCTTTTGGCCATCCAACTATCAATTAGGAGTTGGGCTAGGTAAAGGTTATCTGAAGCCTACTGAAGACCATTTAAGGAATTCATTACCTTATAGAACATTGCAACTTTGCATATAAGACGCAAAACGATTTTTGAACCTTTTCTTTGAACAAAAGTTGCGCTTTATATGCCTCAAGATGCGGCAGTTGTAACAAAAAGTAACAAAGTAGTTACTTATTGTTGTTAATAATAGTACACCGGTTGCCTATTAATTAATGTACGGTACAATTAAAAGTTTTGTTGAGAAGCGGTTAACCGATCTCGGAATTTCCGGTTTTTGTTGCCATTACTCCAGATTTCTAACATTTGTTAAATGGCAGAAGTTGGTATTCCATCATCTCCCACAAATGCTCTTCGAGCATTCGTGGGAGATGATGGAATACCAACTTCTGGGCAGGCCAGGGAAGTGGGACTACGTGACAGACATTCCTGGGAAACCCCGAGCTGTGTGCAGTCGAGCACTACCTTGTCGGAAAATGGCTGTTTGTAGCAGTACCATAAATAGGCAACACACGAGAGTTAAGAATTCTTAAACAGCATAGCGGTACGTTTAAGAAATCTTAACTCTCGTGTGTTGCCAATTTATTATCCTTTGAATGTCCCTTGAATTAACAATTCCTTTATTTTTGCCTCTTTTCAACCTCTGAACACTAAGACGGCCGTTTTTTTTTTTAATCGTCCTTATCATGGGTTCTTCCAGGCCATAATAGATGGTGAAGGACGAAGTCTGATATATCCGGTACAAATGCCCATCAATGGCAAAGTGGATAAAACCACTGAGCATTGGTAGTGGTTTTATCCACTCTACCACAAACAAAACTGAATTGTAACTGAACTTTGTGCTAATATTTTAGGGACAGATTCTAGGGTCAAAATAAGCCTAAAACCCTCTACAAAGATTTTTCAAAACTTGCCTTTTCAAAGTATTATTACTACAGTTATCAAATTTTTAAGGTAATTTTGTATTTTTTTAATGTTTCTGTCAAATGATTGAGGTATGTAAATGTTGCCACATAGGCCTTACTGTAATAAATATGAAAAAAGACTTATCTATTTCAAGATTTCACATTATCCATTCATTTTACAGTAAAAAAAAAAGAAAATAATTTGAATGTGTTGCGTTGCTATAACTAAATAAACCAAACCAAATCGGTACAGATCACTCTTCAAAAATTCCTGCGATTACTAGCCCGGATTCGATCCCTGATCCGCAGAGGCTGACGTTTTTAACTACCTCTACCACAGAATTGACTGTCGTATAACATGGCTTCCAAGATTAGCACTCCAGCAGTGGATGCAGTGTGCTGTTCAACATTAAAGATGGGATTGATGTAGTAACCAGTGGTTTTTCATACTAATAAAATGGTTGTCCATTCTCAAGTAGAATTGGGATTCGTCAAAGATGATACGTATGCTGCCAGTCGGTAGCAGTCTATGCTTCTTTGTCACGTCACTTCTAAGAACCTTTCTATAGGAAATTAAGGGTAGAGAGCTTAAAGTATTCTCTAGGAATTATTGGCCTGAATCATACCAGAACTGTAATTATTTACGTATGCCGAGTTTTCCTTGTATTTGATTATGTAACATTTTTTTCAGTGAGTGTACATAATGTGTTTTTTTTTTTTAATTCACATATTATTGAAAAACAAGGTAAAATGATGGAAAAAATCAATTATTTTTCGAAATTGTTAATCTTATGATCGATATTTGTCTATTGATCTATCGAAGTGGACCAGTCACCAGTGTATGTATACCAATGAATTAATAACAAATTAAAAGAATATTGACAAACAAATGGAAGTATTAGAAAATATAAACATTTATTAAAGTGATATTTTGCAAGATATTTCTCGTATAGATATAAAACATATAAAAAAAGCCCGAATTTCTGTTTCCCCTTCTAATTAAAGCTGGCAAAAGGTAAATAAATGTTTCTTTCTTAATTACACCACAGGAGGATATATGTCATATTAATATTTAAAAATATTAAAACCCTGTTAAAGTAACACCATGAAAACTCCTTTCCTATGTATACTATTATTCATATTTTCTGATAAAAGTAATAGGCTATTTATGTTTTTCAGTTTCGAGGAAAAAAAAAATGAGTAGCGTTAAGTTTGCTGGATAAATGGCAACGTACTTCAATAATAGAAACACAGTTTTTGTGTGCATTGGTGCAGGTATTTCTGTTTGTGTAATAGTAGTCAGCTGTTAAAACACATTTCACTTCTATGAGTTATAATTATGTTATATATAAATATGAACTAAGCCAAGGTAGACTGAAAAACTCTGACTCAGAATAGATATGTGAGAAATTTATATATTTAATGTTTAAGAAACTGTAGTAACTTCATCTCTCAATTTTCCCTTTGAAGTATCTGTGTGTTCGTGCATACCTTATGTATAACTTCATAATTTACAATTATTATATATAAAATTCTCATTATCTAGTTAGTTAGCATAAAATACATATCATTTCTATAGATACTAATATATTTTTGTACAAAAATTATATATTGTAACCTCATCTTGAACTGATCGTGATTACTTACGTTGTAAACATTAATAACCTTGTAAAACTTTAGTGTTTTTTTGTATTCGATTATAAATAACGTGTAGTTCTTGTAATTTTATCTTTATGTCAAACTTTTTTTTATACCTCATTAGAGAATTAAAAAAAAATATGTATTTTCTATTGAGAAAAAAAAATGACGATTGTTATAGGCCCCTACCACCGGAAATAATGATCTTAAAAAACTTTTACGCACTGCAGAACAATGGAACTTATGACTGAAGGATATTTTGTATACTGCATAACTAATTTGTTCCACTTAAATGCCTTATTCTGTATAGGCTTGTAACATATAAACTATTACAAGTAAAATGTAATGTTAAAACTATTTTAATACTGTTAATTTCTTCTACATAACACATTAACACATTTTTGATAATCATTGATAAATTGAAACTTGTCAGTAATTTTTTGTCACCAACCAGTTTTGCTATTGTTATATCAAAAATTGGAAATAAAAATAGTAAAACTATTGATAATTTTAATAACCTTTTTTTAAGATTTCTTCTAAAATCATATTTTATTAATCTTAAAAAACGGATTGCATAAAGAGTTTTTTAAAAAATAAAATAACAATATAAACATATAGATCTACAATGTAAGAAGGCTTTCTTCACTTAAAGGATGCCGTAAAGGAGGCTTTTCTGCATTATAGCTTTTTATGAGTTCTTGTTTGCATAATGTGAAATGTATTGGTTTGCTTAGACCTATATTTTATTCGCGTGCTGGAAACATGGCCTGCATGCTAGTATATTTTTGTAAGTATTATTTTTTTCATGTTAAAATCTATGTAATATTTTTGTTTTTCGAATTTTCTTCTTATTTTTAAAGAAAATTAGATGAACAAAGTTCGATCGAATCAATATAACAAATATTTACGATAGAAAACGTCACGTTTATCTCGATCATTTTGAAACAGTTTATAAATAAATCGAAGATTAGGTTAAAAGTTTTTATTTTTATACAATTGTTATGTTTTTAAATGCCGTTCATCTAATTTATCGCATTTTGTTTTGATAGAATCATCACAAATAAGTAAGTTTATACGTAAATCTATTTATTTACTAAAAATTTATAATTTAATTATGATAAACAATATATTAAAATAGTTATTATAGTATATACCTGTACATTAAAATAACATAATTTATTAATTATAAAAATTAGCATTATAAGTTAATTTAATATGTAAATATTTATATAAAAATATTAATTTTTTTTGTAGTGTAATGATCTAATTTATGGCATTAAATGAAGATTTTAATGTCATAAAAATGACTTCATTTAAAAAATTTATAAAAATTATTTTATAATTTAAGAATAATTTTGCATAAAATCTTTTGGCTCCTTTAGGTAATTTTTTTTCTCCATTTTCGGGTTTATATTTACATTATAAAATAAGAAACCAAGTTGTAACTAACTACTGTACTTAAAAAAAAAAAAATATCCTCAATATTATAACATTCTAAGAAGTTATAAACATAGTTGTAATTAATTAGACGGCCTTTTCCTGAGTAAAATTGAATTATATTACCCTAAAAATAGAATTTTATCATAAGAAAAACTAGTCTAAATTGGAGTTTGTAGTTAACAAAACTTCTGGTCTAAGGGCAAACTTCTCGAAATATTTCCCTTTGTTAAATTTCTTTAGCTTTTGTCTCGCACGATTTGATTTCGTGATAAATTTTGTCTTAATGTCTACGTTCGGTAATGATCCAGTGTCAAAGAAACATTTGTGTAGAAATTCTTGAGTTATCCTTTAAGAGGCCCAAGTCCACCTCCTGTGATTCGCAAGTCAAACAGGATACGCACTATACCGAATCCCGGATGTGTCTTTTCTTTGACTTCATCTCCGCGTTCTGTATTTACATCACACACAACGAATAAATGAATAACATTAACGTCATAAATAAAAATATCTGAATTTAAATATCTTTTGATTCAATATTCTATATACATTTATTAGAGAGTTAGTCTAAACTTATATATATATAAGCTAATAATAGTTTCTTTGATATTCCTCACGTAGAAAATAAATTTGCTATTATTTTATTGTATATTTTTTCTTCTTTTTCTTTGGTAGGGAGTGTGTTACTAATATTTTTTCCTCCTTAAAAAATGAATCAAATCGGAAACTTGTGAACATCTGTTTCCTTTGATTTTTATTACTGAATACTCATAAAAATTTAGACGTGGGCATTCATTTACAAGGTCAATGTCCACATAACATCTTCAGCAGTTCCAGTTTTTTTATGACAATGTCAACTTTCTCAGGGGGATAATAAAAAGTTAATCCAGTTTTTTTCTTCTTCACGCTGAAGAAAAACAAATTCTCAATTATCATCATCGTTTTTTTTATTTAAACTAATTTTTCTGTATAAAACTTAATAAATGTAAAAATATATATAATAAATTTATAATNAATATTTATTTTAATAATATATAAATTCTACATCCCAAACTTATCATTAGCCGCCATACTGATCACCCCTTACCACTGGATATTTCATAAATTTTTTTTAGAAAATATTTTTGTACACAATCTAAATATTTATGTATAACTTTAAACACGGCCTTTGGAGCAATAACTAATTTGCCTTTGCTCCTTGCATAACTTAGAATTATAATTATATATATATATATAATTTTAATTTTTTTAATGTAAAATTATACCTTTATACATCAACGTATTGATGAATTATTGTTTTTTTTTCTATTAATATTTTTATTATATAATTTTTATGATTATTAATAGAAAAGATTAAGTTTATAATTGAAAAGAATAAACGAAATTTTAAATGACTACATTGACTTTTTCCAAGCACTTACTTCTAATGACACAGGCGTGAGTAGGGGGGTATAAGGAATGCTATAATTCATTGTAATTCACGTTAACTTTATTATTACACATTAGGTTTCTGTATAGATAACTTAACAGCTAAATTTTCTCTCTCTCTCTCTCTCTCATACAAAAGCTGTAAACTTTTTACTATATTCAGCAGCAGCTGTTTAGGATTTTTATGTCTACATCTACGATTCTCTTTCAAATCAGTTGAGAGACGAATAAGTTAATTTTGCTGTTAACTATATTCCTATTACTTTACTGATGAATTTTAAGTATAAAGCATAATTTATAGAATGTATGAATTTATGTAACCTTCAAAATGTCATCTGTACCTTCAAGCACAAATTATGTATTATTTATACGTATACAAAAAAAAAAAATTGTTAATGGCTTTCAAACTTACATAAATTTACAGATATTTTTAGTAAAGTTTTATTCTCAACTTATAAAACCTTAAACTGGAAATTTATATGTGAAATTTCTGAAATTCTAAGTTTATATGTATAAATTTCCAATTTGGAATTCATGACTTTTCTCTTTCCATTATTAATGTTTAAACTTTTAATTTTAAAATTAAGAGCTACTTCAAATTAAAAATACGACAGTTTAAAATTATAAAAGTTATATCTTTCGTGTGAAACTCCGAATTTGTGAGCAGAGTAAGACGTATACAAGGATAAGCTAATATTTTAAAATGAGATAACATTTCTCCAACCAGTAGTTCGCGAACAACGTTCTTACAAGTTAGATGATTTTATGGATAGATTTCTAGAAAGAGATTAGAAATTAAACAATATATATATATATATATATTGTTTAATTGTTAAGAACGTAAATCCACTATATGTAGAATCCTCAATTTGCATGAATGATAAGCAAATAAGTAAAATATCATTATTGCAGTTATACGACGTAGAGCCAAACATGAACCAAACTTTTGGCACGTTTTATCACACAATACAAACAGTTATACCACTTATTCAAATTAAGCCCCAGGTTTATTGTAGCTAAACATTTTTGCCTGCATCTACAGTGCGTGTCAAAGCAAACCTGGAAGCTCTCTTCTGTGACGTATTTGACGGATTTTCGTCGCAGCGGCTTCTATCTCTGTTGCAGATTGAAACCTGCAATTCATCAACTTCTTTCATCCGTAGATCTTTATCTACGGATGAAAAATCGAGATAGCAAGTAAAGAGACAGTAGTAGTATTATTATGCCTCCATCTCCATCACCATGCACCTTCTTTGACAGATTAACCATTAACCAAAAACGACGGATGGAAGCCGAATGTGGAACTGCAGTAAGGAAAATCATTAAAGACTTAACAAAAACGATTTCAAGAATTGCTTTGACAAATGGCAAATTAGGGCCATGCCATGCTATGATACAGAGAGGCGGCCGCATCGTAAAGGAGCGGCATTTCGAAGACTTTCATCCTGCTTGCATCATACTGAGAAAATATACCACACGGCCCTGTNAGACTTAACAAAAACGATTTCAAGAATTGCTTTGACAAATGGCAAATTAGGGCCATGCCATGCTATGATACAGAGAGGCGGCCGCATCGTAAAGGGGCGGCATTTCGAAGACTTTCATCCTGCTTGCATCATACTGAGAAAATATACCACACGGCCCTGTGGCTAATATACTGTAAATGACTGCAACATTCATTTGAAAAATGCTGAAAAATATGTACAGCTGTAGGAGTTTTGTTATGGTTACGGTATAGACTATGTATTATTAGTTTGACAATGTATCGTAAAAGAATTTTTGTATGTTGTCTATAAAACTTGCGCCAAACGTTTGGTACATTTTTGACTACTTCGTATATGTGGTTATTTCTTTAGAGTTCTGACATTTTTTTTCCTTCGAATATTAAAAATGGTGAATGAAATAATCGTACTGACACTTGAATAATGAGCAATTCGTTAATGCTACTATGGATTACACACAAAATATCATTTGAACAATCAACACTTCTGAAGATTTTTTTTTCTGAAATAAAATTAATAGCATAAAACGTTGCAATAATCAAATAGCATTGTTGTCATTACATTTTCTTTTCATTATCTATTTGGAAGGTTTATGCAATACAAAAAACATTTCATAAATTTTTATTCATGATGATATATAATTTTTATTCTCAATTTCTCAATTCTAAATTTTTCCATATAAATTATATTTAATGTAAAAATAAAATATTACTAGCTGAATGGTAATTATGCAAAATAAATATTTTTTTTATACTTAAAAACTTGTCATTAAGTAATTTTTTATAAAAAATTTTTTAGTATGGCCAAATATCAAATTCATTATAGTAGATCAAATAAATAAACATAAAAGTATCATTTATCTATCTGATCTGCTGTATTGAGTCAAAAAATATTCTCAGTAAAAATTACTTTATTCTTTTTATTTATTAAAAAACTGACTCATAAAACATTTCACAATATAACATGGAATAAAGATATATTACTATTGCATTTTATAATCAATTATATTTTTATGAAAAAAGTCTCTTTTTTTTACTATGAAAAACATTGTTTATACTCTTCTTTAATTTTTCCTCTATCCTGCACTGATGGAAGGTATGGCTTCATTCCTTTCTTTTTCCTATCTGATACAACCAAACTCTGAAAAAAATTGATAATTTCATAACATATATGTGCAGAGTTTCAAGTATAAATAATATTAAATTTATTCATTTAACAATTAATAATTATATTCATTTATAATTTCTCATTTAAAAAAAATAAAATAATCATCTTTCAAAAACAAAACAAAAAAAATGAATTCAATTCCAGCTTAGAAATAAATATATAATCAATATTCAGAAAAAATAAATTTAAGAGCAGGGTTATAGTACAGAGTATAGATAGTAAATACTATTTAAAGTGTGCTTTTTTCATAGATATAGAATATAGCCTATTTTCTAGTTTACAATTTTTCGTGTAACCAAAGAATATACAATGGTAAATCTAAAGAATTATTTCTTTTATTTCAAATAACCAAACTAACATTTTCAGTTTTTACAAGTAACAGCTCATCATCATTTTTCTAGTACCAAATTTAATGTTGAAAAATTAATCATCTAATGACAAGGCAGGAAGTGAAAATAAATGCACCTACTTTAATTTGGCCTTGCAGATAAACAAGCTTTCCATTACAAACATTTTTGGTCTATTTCTAAAACCTTCAGGCATATCTCTTTGAAAATCAAATCTTTCTAGTAATAACATTCTAGAATAGAGTGTATAGAAGATACCCCAATAAGTTCAAATTCAAAATTTTTTAATTACGTACCCAATATGGTGTGTTTATTTACAGTCTATATGTTGCCTCTTATAACAATGGCCTTTCATATGTGAAAGATCTGTTTTTCTTCTTTAAAGCTGATGGATAGTCCTGGGGGTTTTAAAATAAACCTACTAAAAATAAGATGATGAGCTGTTACCAGCACTTTCAAATTTCTGAGTTCATCAGTATGGGGCATTTTTTTGTATCAGGGTGGCTTGTTGGAGTTCTGATTTAAACTTGTCACTGACATGTATAGCTAGGGCAGTGGTCCACCCTTTTTCTATATCTGCTTTGAGCTCCAGAAGGTGTTGCTTAAGGAACTTTCTCATAGACCTGACGTAAGGAAAGTCCCTATCAAATCTATTATCCTTAAGTAGAATTTTATAAACCCTGGTGCTCCCGTCTGTCAGCTCAGTCCTTCTCATTCCATAGCAGCTTGAACGTATAGGGCTTATGCCTGCACCAACATAGGATGCTATCTCCTTATATAGATTGCATATAACACACACAGGTTATCACTTTATGATGGAGAGTGTGTCTTGTTGGGAAGCATTTCGTTGCAGAGTATTATTCTGCTGGTTGCTCAGTTGACTTCCTTGCCCATGTGCCATTTCATGCATTAAGCCTTTAGTGTAGTCATGTGCCTTAGCAATCTCTGCAATCGTCAACTGGCAGTTGACTTCACACAGTCTTATAGATCAGATGTATTTTGTTTGTGCTAAAGTCTGGAAACCAATTGTTTTAATAATATGGAACAGTCTACCAGAATTTGGAAAATGTAAGAAAAAAGACATTTATTGGTCCCAAATAATATGATATACCATATTGTCATTGTATTAAAATTTGTGCTCGATATTTTTAGTTTTATTGTATGGGTTACATTGAGGAATTGTAAATACAGTGTACTGTATATATTGGTTATTCCTTTGTATTGGCTGGCTATTGGTGTTATAATTGTTATGTTGTTACCATGTGTTTGTAAGCTGATGAGGCATCCTTGTACCCGAAATGCATACTTACCTAAATTTGAAATGTAATTATTAATTAAAGACTAACTTTTTTGTAAAAGTTCTGGTCCTTCTTTCTGTCAGCCTTGGTGTGATAAGCCCTCCAAATTGTTAAACCCTATTTATTAGGTTATCTAACTCTATTTTATAGCCGTGGGCTAAAAGTATTGTTTATTATTATTATTATAATATAGCACATTGAGTTAAATGCCATCAATTTGGCAGTACACACAGTTGGTTTTTCATGTGATAAATTCACACATGTGCATAACATGATTATTGAATCTCTATTTCCAAGCACAACATTACACAACAAGGGGGAGATGTCAACCTTTAGTTAAACAACCTGTAGTTCAACCATCATTACTGTACCTAGACCCTTTTCCATACATATTTGCCATATATTCAGGCAACAACACTCTCCTACCTGTCTCCATTACCAAATTTATGCAAACTCAGCTGTAACAATCAGGATAAATTCTACATCTCTGAAAAATCGGGAATCTATGCTTTACCATTGAGAATCCCATAACGGGGATGAACACAAGATACTGTACTTTGGAGCCACAACATGAATGCTTGCTAGCTGCCTAGCTGAGCATCAGGATGATATGGTGATAGGAAAGTGTACCACAGAGCTCACAAAAAAAGGTACTCAAACAGAACTACAATCCGTTAAGGGCTTAAACAATGTTATCGAGATGCTGCAGCAACCGGAAACTCGTGTTTATATGGAAATCTCTCCTTAACCTTGCAACACTCACACTTGACCTGCCCAGTGTGTGGGTTGCCCTATATCAATGTTTCTCAATGGGGTGATATTGCCCCATGTGGGCGTTTTCCCATATTGGAGGCAATTAGTAACAATTTATATTTTTGGGAGCGAAAAACAATTTTCTGCGCAATATAGTAAAACATTATATTAAGAATAATTAGATATTTTATTCGTTATATCACACAATAATTAAACAAACAACATTATACCAGTGACAAGTCTATTCAATGCAATATGAATTTGGCATTAGTCTCAGCCCTCGACATCAGAATTTTGAAGCTTGCAACGGGGATTTACAGCGAATAATGCTTAATTTTAATTTTGTTAATTATATCAAAATCTAATACAAATGCTGAGTAAATAAATGTTCATTTGATAATTATATACTTTGTAAAAAATTAAACTAATAATCCAAACAAAACTGTTTTCGAAGTGAAGGGGGCAACGATTCGTTAGAAGTTGAGACACACTGCCCTATATAAATGGTTAAATAGTGATATACATCTGTTATCACATCTTTAATGTGGGTCTATATCCATGAATGTGCTGCATGATGTCATAATATCTAGAGTAATCAAACTTTGTAGCATGCTCATAACAGTTTTTTTAATTTTAATTTTAAATAATATGTGCTCCACTTACATTAGAACATTATATTCTATTTTTAAATTTTCATTTGCCTGACGATGATGAATGTAAGTTCATTGAAAGCGCTAGCAAAAATAAAAAAACTGTTAATGCCACACTCAGTGTGTTTTTACTACTTCTTAGGATTGTCATTCATGTTAGTAAGAAATTATCCAATGTTAGGCTTAGATTTTCAGATCTTAAATACATCAAATCTTCTGTCTATTTCAATATGTGACCTTAGAATGATCTTGACCTCTGAGAGGCATACCACATTTCAGCCAAGTCTGACAACAGGCACCCTTCTTTTATGAAGATACATTTTGCCATCTAGACCTTGTAACATTGCCACACTCAGTGTTCAGTAAATTTGAAAATTTATTTAACAAGAAATAAAATTTATTTAAGATGCATGCCACTTATGCTATCTGGACCTCTAACTGATGATATATCTGCATGATAAGCAGGAGTTGCAAGTTCAAGTCCTGTTCTAGATCAATAATTAATCAGTAATTAAGAACATTAATTTATTAATCTGCTTTTATGCTTCTAATAAGCAGTGGATAATTTTTAAAAATTGGTTTGACATATCAATAATAATTCTTTAGAGCAGATTAGAGATCACATAAAATTGCAAATCTTGTGCTTACCTTCCTCAAAGCATCTCAACAAATTTTGTTGGATAACATAGAAAAATGTCAATACTGAGTATTTATATATACAATAGAACCCTGATTAACTGAAGTAATATGGACCAACACTACTTTGGATAAACGAAACCATGAATAAAATGAATGATCACAGCCTTTTCAGATTAAAAATTACAAATAAGCCTATAAAAGATTTATATGGTATTACTTTTAAACCTCTTTTTATTGAATTTAATCCTATGTAAGAAAAACATTTTTTTATGATTTATTACACACTAATACATAACATAGTTTTAAGAATAAAAATATGTATTATTGTAGTTACATTTTAATATGAATAGTTTGTATAACTTTGAAGTTAAATGATAAAAGGTAACAGAAACAAATCATTTCGTAATACATATTCTTATTTACTTTGCTGCAATGTTCCAGAGCAAGAACTATGGAAGAAACATTAAGTGAGAAGCTAGTGCTGCTTAAAAGTGATAATAAGTAGATAGATTTAATAAATATAATTTAATAAGCTCTGAAACCACTACTTTCTTTCCACATAGAAAATCTAAATAAATCTATAACTTGTTTATGCTTCATATATATATATATATATACAATTGTATTTCTTGATTTCCATTTTAAGCTCTTAGATTTTTAGCAGGACAAAGTAATGGAACATGGTCTACTCAAACACTGCACAATCACCTCAACATCATTTTTCATGGGTGATCTATGTTGGATATGTCAGGCTCCATCCCTCATCACCTGGCCACCCTCATTGTAGGTTTGGCTAAATTCTCAATGAACATAGAAAAAAGATTCTCTTAATGCCCACATGGGGGAAAGAGTTTATCAATTAAATCACTTGCTCAACACAGTCAGGGTTAAAAGTACTGCAATATTTATAAGTAATGTTTACTTACAGATTTGCCTCAGATAATATGTAACATCTGTTAATCAGGGCTCAGATAATTGGGGTTCTACTATATCTCATGATTTAAGTATTGCCAAATTCCTCAAAAAAAAAAAAACTGCATATATTATTATTTATATTATACAGTAAGAGACCTAAAGTATCTCATTACAAAATGAAAAAATTTTAATACATCCCAATATTTAAAAAGTAATGTAAAATAAATTTGTATTATATATGCTGTATATTACATTTATAATGCAATATTTTATTTTGCTGATCTTAGCATTGTTTTTCTTCATGTTCATGACAATACTATTTACAAAAGCTACTTTTATAATAATTAAGAAATAGTGACAAATATTCTTTT